AGCCAATAATGTATAAATACTTCAGGAGCCATCCAACAAAACGGGAAATAAATATATTAGCCAAAACAATCTAAGGTTAACATAGTTAGAACCTTAGTTTCTTAAAAATTTATAAATTTATCTGTGGAAAAAATATATACCGTACTTAAAGTTGTTATAAATCATGCCGTTGCAAAGCACTGATTACTGTACTGGGTTTAATGATACCCTGAAGGAATAACAGAACAAAGTTTTAAATTTCAAAATAATAATAAATATATTAAAATGCACATTTTTTTAGGAACCAATGTAACACCTCAGTCATCATTTCAAACAGAAATGCCCTTTAAATCTTAGCTGTAAGGAAATAAGATGCAGGATCACCATCTTTAGTGGTGGCTATAACACTACATTACAAATTGATTCTGTACTAACACAGCTTTGTGGCATTCCCTTTGCATATACATAAATCAATCAGTCGTCATCTCTTGATGTACCTCACCCTAGTGAAATAACTACAAACACTTTTATAGCTTTCTTACTTTATTTAGAACTGATTATATTGCACTTAAACTTGTAACATAAAGCTTTTGATAATATAAAATAGCACCAACAGTCACATTTATACATCTAACATATAATTCACCAATACAATAGTTGTAATAAATTGGACATGGAATGGTAAGTGACCTTTTTGGCCTCATTTTTTAAAGTTCTCCAAATATTGTTTCTTATTGCGATTCAATATGTGTATAAAAGACTTTTTTTGAATGTTAGGATGACTTGCACAATTTTCCATTCTGATCAATTTCCTACAACTTTTTTTATCATCTAAATTATCATTCCTCTTGTGGTTCAGAACTGAGCTCAAGTCGCAACTAATTACAAGTCATTAATTCATATCATACAAATAAGCAAGAATTTTTTTTTAAAAGAAACATCTACTGGTAAGTTATTGCTTTTGAGAAATAAGCATTTCAAAAAATCAATTTAAAAAACATCTTAGGGAACATATGGAGAGAATTCAATGTACAGGAAACCAAATAACTGCAGAAAAAAAATGACCAAACTCACTGATGCTTCACCTATATATCCTATTTACAGTATCATCATTCACATTGTTTGGTTAAAGGGAATATACTTTATATTTTTACATAAGGCACCTTAAGGATGATTATATTCAAACTGAATTCAGATTGGTCAAAGGGTTCTGAGGAAAACTTAATATTGACCAATGAACTATTAAAAGATTTTTGATAAACAGTTGTGCCATGAAATCATAATCTACCCAACCCTCGAATTTGGAGCATTAGACCCCAAATCCACTAGAATAAAAAATCTGAAAATATTAAAATCTGAAAGGAGGTAGTGTTTTACAGGTTGTTATAAAATTTCATGGGTTTAAACAATTGTCATTACCGGTAACATTCTAACAGGGATAATATTCACTGAAATTTGTGTAATATGAAACCCTTTTAATCTAATGCAAATTTTTTAAAATGTAAAAAACATCAAGTTTATCTAGTATTACATGTATTAAGACTTTCAAGAATATTTCATTAGTGCAATAACAGGGAATACTGCTTGCTAACTTTGGTTACATTCTATAGGAACTACTACTAAAAATTTAGATATTTCTGCGATGTTTTTTTTTTGTTGTGAAAATTGCGGCAGGATATAGATTTCGCAAACAATAAAAACTAGCAATTATCTGAAATCAAACATATAATTAATTTCAAATTTTTGTCCATTCTTCAAAAATCCCAATAATAAATGCAACCAAAATTTCTAAATTTACAGTATACTGCTTTACAATAATAACATTATACTTACTTTTGAAGAGGGAATTATCATGATGTATTGACTGCCCATGTGATTGTTATATTGACAGAAACATTGATAATGTGTAGCAGCAGGCAAGGGCATAATCCATGCTTCATTTAATACTACTGTCCCAAAGGCAGTCTATAATATTTATCATGATATTGCCCTCTTCATAAGTAATATTTTATTTATCAAAAAAATATTAGACAAAAAGGGATGTAACTCTAAAAAGATACAATGTAAGTAGGCATTACCATGATAATCCCTGATGGATTTCTTATTGTAGAATAAAGAATGACACATGAGAGCATATTTATACCAATGAAAGAGTTGAATTTAAATCTGATATGAAATACAAAAATGTAATAGCACATTTAATGTATATATTATTAGTTACATGGTGTGTTAGTGACCTAATACGATTTATATGGGGTCAGTAAATTCCATATGGGGTGAGAGCGAAGTTAGGTCACTAGCACACCGTGTAATGAATTTATCTTACCGACTATCTTCCCATGTGGTATTAAGACTAGCGGCCTATCAAAGTGATTTAAAAGACTTCAATACTTAATTTTAACATGTTTAAGAACCTACTTCCATTTGTCTATACAAAAAACAAATGCCAACAATAACAACGCGTTAGCTTTCCATTTGTTTTATGAATGTATTTCAATCGTTTATTACCAGTTTCTTCGTCTGTTTAAAACCTTACAGATGTCATTTTTGTTTAAAAGGGAAGTAACCCCTTACTAACCCCATATGGTTGCTAACTGTATATGGTAACTAACCATGTATTTTTTAGGACACCCTATATGAAATATATATCACTGAACTAGTATATATATTTGTTTAGGGGCCAGCTGAAGGACGCCTCCGGGTGCGGGAATTTCTCCCTGCATTGAAGACCTGTTGGTGGCCTTCTGCTGTTGTCTGTTCTGTGGTCGGGTTGTTGTCTCTTTGACACATTCCCCATTTCCATTCTCAATTTTATGGTCACCACGTGTAGTCGATTAACCAATCATATCCCTATAAATCTATAGAAGGTAAGATAAGTTATAATATCAGATTATTACATGGTATTTTTCATATCAGATGTATTATCAGCCCAAGGTTCAATATCAGCCAAAGCGCCGAAGGCTCAAGGGCTGATATTCACCAAGGGCTGATAATACATCTGATAAGAAAAAATGAAATGTTATGATCTTTTTATCATATCCTTCAATAATGGAGAAAAATAACAGTTTAATATATTAGTTTATTATACACTTAGTAGTAAATACAGATAAATTGTATGTGTAATACAATCATAGGCAAGCGTGCTGTATCAGCCACCCGTGATGATATCGATATCAGCACGGTTGCAAAGGCTTTATCACACCTTTAATCTGTATGACGTCACGTCATCGATTGCAGTCACTGTGTCAAAGGCTTTATCAAACCCCTAATCTGTATGACGTCATATCAAACCTATAATCTGTATGACGCCATTTCAAACCTCCTTATCTGTATGACGTCATGTCACATAAAAACATCTACGTGAGGTATATGTATATAATAAAGTGTATATGATATGGCTTTTTCAATATCACACACTGTATCAACCCTCAACCAATATAATCCCTCGAGCAGAGCTCTTGGGATTATATTGGTGTCTCAGGTTGATACGGATGTGATATTGAAAAAGCCATATGACATTCTCTATTTATCATATATTTAGTACAAAATACAGCAATTTTGTATATCTAATAAAGGTTCTTTTTTCCAGTCTGTATCACCTACCCTGTATCACATACCCGGTATTGCATACCCTGTATCGCATACCACGTATTGCATAGCTAAATCCGTATCGCATACCTGGCGTGACGTCATAAATCAAATGCATAACGTTTGACCTATGACGTCTAGTTGCTGTATTTCCTGGCATAGGAAAAAAGTGAGTTCCCACTCAAGAAATGTCATATCATTTCAACTAAAATCAATATTTTTTCCAAAAAAATATTACCCAGTAACTTTATAAGCGATTTTTATAAAATAGATACAATAAGTTTTTTAGTGGGAACTCACTTTTGTCCAATGACTGTGTATATAGGAATCCCCTGTTTGTCTGTTAATAATCTTTGAATAGATGATACTTGGTAACATTGTTGTCCATATTTATGTATACAAATGAGTTCAGATTGTAGTATAATGATTAAACTTAACAACAAATATTGGGAAGGTGGGTTGTATTCTACAGGAGGGAACAGTTGACACTATTGTTAGTGAATGCTTTTAAATACATGGTCTTAAAGTATATTATTTGCCAGTTTCATAGCTCTATATTGAGCATGTAATAAGGTTGTAGGGGACATTACGATGTGGATATTAAGCAAATAAGGAAGTCAGCTGGAAAAATACAGGAAAATCCTTATGTTCTTTTGTTTGTTATATTTTCGGACGATTTAAAAAAAAACGTATATCACATTAATCTGATTCTATTTAAATATATGATAAACAGAATAATACATGACAAAATCCGTATCGCATGCTGTATCACCACTCGACCAATATCAGCCCTCGGGACCTTTGGCCCTCGGGACTGATATTGGTTTCTCGTGGTGATACAGCATGCGATATGGATTTTGCCATGTATTATTCTATATATATTGATCCTTATAAGTTGTTCTCAAGTAGAAGTTCTAATCTTTTTATCATATACTTCAGTAGAAAGAATACATACAAGAATTATTTTTTAATCTTTGAAAAAAGGCATTTTTTGTATCATTTGTTTTGCATTACTCAAATTATATTTTCCTGTTTCCTAATATTTGTTTTTTTTCTATCCTACTTTGTTATTTTTTCACTGAGGTGTATTTTCTGGAATTTGCTGAGTGACGTTGAAATGCCATGTGATAACGTTACGGAGAGGCATGCGATAATAACCGGAAGCAGTTGATAAATTTTTCATATCAGCCCGATAAGCACCATTTCGGAAAAAATATGGAATTCACATAAATTTAATGTTATTATCATACTGTAAAAATTATAAGTTATTTACTCTAAGTATATGATAAGTAAACATATTTTTTTGTAACATGTCATACATTTTTTTATATTTCATTTAAGTAATATACATACATGTATAATACAATGTTTCTCATTGGTTAAAATTATATATTTCATTTGTGACTTCTTTACCTCAAACATTAAATTCCTCATAAAACCATACAAATAACAACAAGCCTTTAAAAAGCATACAAGGCTAAAATTAAATGGTCACAACAACAATTCATAAGTAGTAATAGAAATCATTTTGAATGATAAATGTTATATAAACATAATGACATGTAGTTAATTGCCTATGAGACAAATATCCACCAGAGAAAAATTGATGAGGATGCAAACCAACTATATGTCACAGAACAGCATTCAACAATGACCAAATCCATAATAAGCTTTAAAATGCCTTGCATGACAAAATTTTAAACAATTCAAAAGGGTGTTATTTTAGTCTGCTTACATAAAAAGAAATCAATTAAAATTACAATAGAATAAGAAATTTAGCTCACATTATAACATACCGGTAAAAAGTGAAACTAATGGCTTTTAAAAACCTAAATTGGTAATCTGGATCTATGCATAACAACATCAACCAGATGAGACCTATAAAATTGCTCATCTGGATCTATATATCCTTATACTTTTAAAGATCTGAGAACAATACGATATCCTTAAATTTGGCAGAATAAGTAAAAGGATCTTTCAGTTAAAATTGATCAAAATTAAGAAAATTTTCAAGCTATGGTGGGAGTGCCCTATTCTTCAACTAACTGGAAATTAAGTAGCAATTTTTATAGACATGATAGAGGATCATTTCTGGCTATTCTGACAGTGATTATATCAATTGTTTTCATTACTAAAATTAATGGAAATGCCTTTACTGAAAAAAGAAATTCAATGTGTCAAACTTATGCAAAGGCATAAAATACCAATAATTAAATACAATTATTTCATCAATTTTAGTTAATTTTAAAGGCAAATTTGAAGATGATAAAAGGCCATTCAAACATATATACAAATACAATGTACATGATGTAGGCACATGGCAATGATTGTGTAATAGCTTGTACAAAATAACCAATCAGAATAACAAATGAAAATTTTGCCAGTCTTATAATTTCTTGCCTGATATGTGATTTTAAAATTGTTCTTTTTTGAAGCATTAATACATAAATATAAAGAGTCACTGAGTCAATAGTGTAAAGGTGATAAAAGCCATCTATAATCCACATCATCTGAACTCTGGTAGATAGTTGTCTCAATGGCAATCATATAATATCTCCTTTTTTTTTATAAAGTTTTAACTATTTGAAAAGCAAAAGCTTTTCATAAGCCATTTAAAAAATCACATTTAACAACATAAATTGTAAAAAAAATAAATATACTGTAGCAAAGTGAGATTAAAAAATAATAAAAAAATACAATAAATGCTAGCTTTGGCACATGTGTAGATTAAAAAACACAACTACAATAAACATAAAATAATTTATAATAAATGCATGAATTTTAGCTGCACCACAGGGTACCCTTAAAAATGCATCACCAATTACCTTATATGGTCCTCGTTCTGGTGGGCAAACAAACCCTGCCATATCACACAGCTCTGTACACGATGGGCAAATGATGTCACCATCATGAAGATATTGATATGCAATATAACTTATGTGAATTTTTTGTCCTGCTTTAAGACATTGATATGAACGATCGTTGGCATAGATAATAAGTCCCTGCTGTTTGTCACAATCATAACTGTAACAACCACTTCCTGAATGAGAGACTGGATGTAAGAAATTACAGTGTTGTATAATCCATGAATTAGCATGGTTGAAACATTGAGATCCTTGGCCAAAATATTCACCATAAAAATTTAAAGATGGGTGAGGATTATTTTCCTTCATAGCACATCGAGAATCTCGCACAGTTCTGTCACCATCTTTCCATGTAAATTCCTGTAGGTAAGGGCAATAATCTGCTAATGAAACTGATCCTCCATAACGGCTGACATCATATGAACTAATACCAGGTAGAGAACTAAAATATCGATAGTCTGCAGGTAAAGCTACGTTAAATTCTTGTAAATTGCAAAATGCAACAGCATTGCGGTTTCTTGTGCATTCTGTCTTTAAAACACCTTGACGAACCGTATCACAGAATGGATGAATGTCCCCATGCCTTGCTCGCTGGGTGTGTATCCAGTCTAAACAACTCTTCTTTACAAAGTCACAACCTAACCCTTTACCCCAATCTAAATGCTGCTCTCCAAAGTAATTTGCCCTATACCAGCCTGTATCTTCCATCAATGCCAAAGTAATACGTGATATTACTGGATTTTGTGTATATGTTCCAGTCATAGCTTCATTTTCAAATATTCTTTTCTCCCAGTGAGTAAGATAAGTTCCTATCAACCCCTGATTTTCAAGTTCTGCCCCTTCTAAAGTTGGACAGTTAAAATGCTTCCTCACTTCATCAACAACTCTTGGTGTAACAATCAGATTAACTGCATGTGAAACATAACCACTAGCTACTTTCCAATCCTTTCTTTCAACTTTTCTTACAATCTTTTGACTCCATTGGTAAAGACCAAGAACAGAATTAAATGGTGGTAAATTAGACGACGTAAACCTTGGAGTGTATGGCTTTCCACTATCATCTCTGTAGAATGCAAAAAGTCCAGCTAAAACAAAGCAAAACAACAAATGTTTGTTAACTGGTTATTGCACTTTCTTCAAAACTTCCAATGTTTTTTTTAGCTGGAAGTCTAAATGAAGGTAATATATGATTCAGGTGTTTGGAAATTTTCTTTTGTGAAGGATCCTAGATTTCCCCCTTTTATGCTGACAGGTTCTTATGTTGATGATAAAAAATCTGTAGGACCTCTTAGATCATAACATTATGTTAAATTTTCAGAGCAGTTTCATATTTCATCATCTTAATAAGAATTTGACTCAATATATTGAGGGCAAAAGCCACAATCACCAATAAATTATTCAAGAAGCTGTCTCAGTCAAAACCAAGCAAATATGAAATATGGTCCATAAGCATTACTCAAGAAATTTTATATTTCATGTATATATTCCAAGAATCTACACATCAAGAGGATCTAAATATTTTTGGTCAAGAAATAAAACCTGTTGGAAGAATTGAAAAAAAAAATGGATTAATGGGATAGATTTTGTAACTAAGAAGGATTAAAAACTGTGTTGTAAAACATGAACAATATATACATTTTGGAATAATATAATGGTGAAATATCAGATGTTCCATGGTGACTCTACTATGTCTCTCTGAAGAATGAACATAAATAGTGCTAAAACATGTCACTAAACAATAACATTCTGACCAAAATCTACAATAAATATGTTGTTCTTCAAGACAATTGTAGCGGTAGAACAAAAATTCATCATCAACAAATTAAACACCACAGCATACTGTTAAATGGACTTTCTTTGTAGGTAGATAGAAATACTAACTTATAGAAAAGTAGGTACATGACAGATATGTGCGGAATATGGTTAATATGTTTGCTCATTAAAACTTGTGGGTATAAAAAGATAATCTGCTTGTGTAGCTCAAATGTAATTTCTAAATTGATTTTGATCTACTTAGGTCCAGCAAAAAAATCTTTGAGAAAGAGATGGCATAGTAGTGACTGCTAATAATTTGAACACCTATTTACAAACATGCACAATGAATTATAATACATATATGTTGACTTACCTGTAAATCCTAGTGCATGTAATATTTCATGTTTGATAGTTGATAATAGCTGGAGATGATCCTGTGATCTGGTTGATATTGTTTCTGGACAGATAGTAAAATAACCTGCTATTGGTCTGTCAAGTAGATGTTCCTGTTGACAATGGGCAGCGTAGGCAATAGTTCTTCCAGTGGAACAACGTGATGTAGATACAGCTGCTACATACAGAAGAAAATCTGTGTCTTGTACACCTTGTCCTGAATCCATACTACTTTTGAACTTTGTCCCATCAAAATAGTAACATCTTAAAAAGATTAAAATGGTTCATGAAAAGTGAGAGAATATATCAAGGGGTAATCAATAAATATTATTAAGAAATGTCTGGCCTACGGTTTAAGTCATAAGATACCTTGACAGCTATCTTTTCCCAAAAAGAGACAGCTGTACATTGTAGGTGGTTGATGTGGTCTTTTGTACTGTGTGGCATAATTATTGCCATGCATGTGACCAAATTAATCCTCATGCACCAATAAATATCAAAGACATTGAAGAGGGTCTCCCAATCATCAATACTGTAAAGTTTGGAAAGATTTAAAAGTATCTTCAGAGCAGAAGAAGCTTGAAAAGATTTAAAAGTATCTTCAGAGTAGAAGAAGTTTGAAAAGATTTAAAAGTATCTTCAGAGTAGAAGAAGTTTGAAAAGATTTAAAAGTATCTTCAGAGTAGAAGAAGTTTTAATAAATTTAAAAGTATCTTCAGAGTAGAAGAAGTTTGAAAAGATTTAAAAGTATCTTCAGAGAAGAAGAAGTTTGGAAAGATTTAAAAGTATCTTCAGAGTAGAAGAAGTTTAAAAAGATTTAAAAGTATCTTCAGAGTAGAAGAATTTTGGAAAGATTTAAAAGTATCTTCAGAGTAGAAGAAGTTTGAAAAGATTTAAAAGTATCTTCAGAGTAGAAGAAGTTTGAAAAGATTTAAAAGTATCTTCAGAGTAGAAGAAGTTTGAAAAGATTTAAAAGTATCTTCAGAGTAGAAGAAGTTTGAAAAGATTTAAAAGTATCTTCAGAGTAGAAGAAGTTTGGAAAGATTTAAAAGTATCTTCAGAGTAGAAGAAGTTTGAAAAGATTTAAAAGTATCTTCAGAGTAGAAGAAGTTAGAAAAGATTTAAAAGTATCTTCAGAGTAGAAGAAGAAGTATCTTCAGAGTAGAAGAAGTTTGAAAAGATTTAAAAGTATCTTCAGAGTAGAAGAAGTTTGAAAAGATTTAAAAGTATCTTCAGAGAAGAAGAAGTTTGGAAAGATTTAAAAGTATCTTCAGAGTAGAAGAAGTTTGAAAAGATTTAAAAGTATCTTCAGAGTAGAAGAAGTTTGGAAAGATTTAAAAGTATCTTCAGAGTAGAAGAAGTTTGAAAATTCATCAAATAGAAATAACAATGGCCTCTTTATGACTGATTAGAGTGAAATCAGATTTACTTTTTTTTTTTAAATAATTACCACCATTTAATTGTAACTTGTTTTATTCAGACAGGCTATGTAAAAGATGTAGTTATAGAGAAAAAGATGTAAATGAGATTACTCTGAGATTCAATGGATCTTTTACTACATCATTGCAATTTTACATCTTTATTTACAAAAAGGGATGATGAAAATACTTCTTTCATAAAGATAACACTTGTCATACCAAGAGAAGCCATAATCTAATATTTTGCCTAAGAAGTTTAATTCAAAACTTTATGAATTTTACAATGTACAACATATATACATGGTTACATGTTACTGCACATGGCATTTCATTACTAGCTTATAATACATGTACATTGTATATTACAAATAAAGCAATGTTGTCAATTTTTTTTTTAAATGAGATGAATACATGATGTATAAGTTTTGTTCTTTAACATAATGATTATGTCCCAGAATTACTTACCATTATTCCCATATGTAAATACATGTACCCCAAATCCTTTTTTTCTAAGATTTCCCACATAAACGGATCCCCTAATCCTTTTTTTCAAAGATTTTTGCCAAATGTTCACAGCCCAAATAATTGTTTTTTATGTATTTGACTTGTTTCATGAAGATTTCTAATGGATTCAATCGTGAGTATAATGCAACAGAATTTTTTTTTTTCACATTTGGAAACTGTTCGAACCCAAACAAGTATTTGTTTAAACTTGACTTATATACTCTTAATATAGCATGTTAATCAAGAGTTTAAATGCCTTGCTTGCAAACTGTTTGGTTGTTTGCTCAGACATTGTAATTAAGATTGACACCTAAATTCAATGGGTAGGCGGAGTAACAGTCTGTTTACTATATACAAAGGTTTGATTGGTCAATGAATATCAAAATACTTTCCAGTTAGCAACTTGAAAGATAAAAAGAAGCATGGGCTAAAGGGGGTACAGGAAAGGTAAAGTTAACCAATTTTGAAATGGATTAAAAACGTAAAGCATGAGCAGTTTTATTGTCATATTTTAATTCAAACTATAATGTTGACATGAAATTTATTTCTTGTTACTTATTTCAGAGACATATAATACATATATGTCTCTGCTAATTACGTGAAATTTTGCACTTTAAACTACTGTATATATTCTACAAGAAAAAAATAACTTCAGATCACTTTGTTGCAAACTGTTTGAGAAATCAGTGGCTCGCAATGCTCTAAGGGTCAATGCAGTAGTCGTTATAAAGGGAATATGACCATCAATATTATAAAGGCACTCTTCAACAATTACAATAATTACAATAATTGTATATTAACTAACTTTTATTTAAAATAAAAATAGTAACACAGTTTTTAAAACTCATTCTCTTATTTGCTTAGTGCATTAAAATTTGACTATTATGTAATAAGAAATGAAACCATATTCCTGCCACATTATTAATTATTTGATATACAAGTTTCCATCTAGAAAATTAATGGTTCCCAATTCCCATTTCAATTTTTATGATGATCTAGTTCTTTAAATATTTTGGCGAGAAATGAAATCTATATTATTTCATCATCATTGATCATTACGATCCAAAAAGAAGCGAGAAATCCGCAACCAGTCAAAACTTTAAAAATTATTTGCCGACAGCAGTTTATACTTTTTTGGGGGTGGGGGCATGTAGCATTTTTATGGGTAGAAAGATGAAGGGGAAACAGTGAACAATTCAAATTTATTTTTTATGATTCTACAAAAAAAGCAAAAATAACTAAAAAAAAAACAACACACAACTTAAATAAAATGCTTCGCTGAGCACAGCCTGATACGACCGCAGAGGTCGAACCCTGAACAGTTTTGGCAAATTTGGACACAATATTCAAGCTTGATACTGTCTGAATTTGGATTGTGATCAAATTTTTGACATAATATAGGTTTCTGACACAAAATAAATGTGGTCAAAGATCTTACAAATATATTGCGCAATACTGTCGATTGATGATTTCTTCTTGAAACTTTTCAAAAATTCGAATTTTGAAAAATTTTGAAAAAAAAATATGAATCCCCTAAAAAAATTGGAAAAAAATTCCCCCCCCCCAATTTTTTGAAACCCCCCCTTGGAGCAATAACCCCAAAACTCAATCCCAGCCTTTCCTTTCGTAGTATGGAACATTGAAGTACAATTTCAGAGAGATCCATACACTTAAACACAAGTTATTGTCTGGAAACTAGAAAAATGCTTGTTTTTGGACCTTTTTTGGCCCCTAATTCCTACATGTTTGGGGCAATTAACCCCAAACTCAATCACAGCTTTCCCTTTGTTATATGGAACCTTGTGGTACAAGGTCAGAGAGATCCATACACTTACACACAAGTTATTGTCTGGAAACTAGAAAAATGCTTGTTTTTGGCCCCTTTTTGGCCCTTAATTCCTAAACTGTTGGCCCCATAACCCTTAAAATGAATCCCAACCTTCTACTTGTGGTATTAAACATTGTGGTACAATTTCAGAGCAATCGAAATACTTATAATTATACACAAGTTATTATCCTGAAACTAGAAAAATGCTTGTTTTGGGCCCCTAATTCCTAAACGGTTGAGACCATCAACCCCAAAATCAATCCCAACCTTCCTTTTGTGGTATTAAACCTTCTTAAAAAATTTCATAGAGATCCATTCACTTAAACTAAAGTTATTGTCCGGAAACCAATGTGTCTTCCGAAGACGACGACGACAACATCATACCATTATACGATCCCAAAAAGTTTTTTGTGGTCGTATAACAAAAAAATTAATGCTCATGCAGTAATATCTCTTTTATCTTTTCATGTAAATTGTATTGATAATATAAAAACTAAAAGTATTTATATTAAACATGGTGACAGAGACATATAATTATATGTTATGTCTCTGATGATGATAAATGATCATGTTTCATCTTCCAATATTAAGAATAAAGCAACTGTGTGCAGAAAACTTTTCATTATCATATCAAATAAAAACAATAAAACCATCAAATCTTGCTTTACTGTAAAAATTGTATTATTATCAATTAGTTTTCAAAATTGGTTCACATTTAGCGAACTATTCTTTTTTCTGTATACCCTTTAAGTGCCTGACTGAAAACAATATACTATCCATTGTACAATCAAATCTTTTTATATAGTAAACAGACTGTTACTCCCCCTAACCATTGAATTTAGGTGTCAATCTTAATTACAAAGTCTGAGCAAACAACCAAACAAAGTTTGCAAGCAAGGCCTTTTAACTCTTGATTAACATGCTATATTATTTCAACTCTAAGTGCAATTAAATGTATTACTTTTCAAGATGAGTTTCTGGAATTAAGATATCCCCACACTTAGTAACTGCTGCACAACCACCATCACAGAACCTATGTCCTCGATCATATGTCACACTTAATGGTGATGTACATTGTCTGTTCAATCGTACAGCTAGAACTCCTCTACGGACTTTCAATGTTTTCTCCCAGTATTGAACTGCTTCATTCACCAAACTCTTCACAAGTTGTTGTTGGTTATAGGACAACAGGCTGACAGTATAGTCATAGTGAAGGTGAATCCTAAGGTTTTCAAAAACACTCCTTTTCTGTATATGACCGTTGTGATCTGTGTCTAAGCGGACATGACGAATCACTTCATCTTCCGGTGGTGACTGATGTGAACAAAGCACTTCCTCTTGTTGAATAGGAATGTTTCCAGCTGTTACATATTGTAAGAATAGTATGCAAGCTGATAACAACTTGATATACAACATTGGACTGGTCCCATTCTGGCAAGTTGAGGGAACATACATGTTCAGGATAATTCTATCTACCAATCCATCTCGTTTAATTCTCTCTTAACTCTGTAATGAGGAGATACATGTATATAAATATTTGACAATATCATTAAAAATTAATTTTGTGTCTGTAATACTATTTTTAGGCTCCTGCATAAAATATGGGACATATTCACATAATGTGCATGCATTACTAGACAATACAAGTCATGGTCAATTTCAAAAATATTAACTTTCACAATTCAACTCTTCTTGCTGTCGATGCTGAATCAGCTAATTAGCAGTTTCTGAATGATAATTTAGTTTTAGGAATAAGCATTGATATTTGAGAAATAAATGTTCAGGCTTGTATTTTTTAAAGACTTCATTATAAGTTTATCTATTCAAAAGTAATATCCTTTGAAGAACTGACAAGCGAGCACTGGTTTTATGAGTTTGATCCCTATAAAATTTTAAATGTATAACTTATTTTGACCAAAAATTGCAGGTATTTTAGGCAATCACCACTGACCATAAAATGCAGTTTTAAGCTCATCAGTCAGCCAAAGGCCTTCACCAACAGAATTGGCAGAAAGTAATTTAATATTGAGCAGATGCAAAACATCTTTATTTCCATTTAGTCATGTTACATTTTAACTAACAACAATTAGATAATAAATGTAGAAGCAAAAAAGTGCAATATTAGCTACATATAACCATGATAACAGTAGGGAAATGTTTGTTTTGTTTGAATGAGTTTGGAAATTTATTCTTGGGTTGAAATTATTCCATTTGCTTTTCTACATATATCTTATTTATGCCTCAAGATTATTTTTCTAAGCAATACCTCATTTTTTTTTCTTATTACATTTCTTAGTTTTTACCCATGCATTTTTGTGGGAAAAGGTGTATTTTTAATTTTTGTGAAATACAAAGTACATGTGTTATTTGGTTCACTTCTGGTTTTTTTTTTTGGTGGATATGTGTTTGACAATCTTTTGGGTGTTTTTTTTGTGTCATGTTTTGTGGACTTATGTCGGTCTTCAACTTATGGTTTATGATTTAACTCTGAAAAATATGATCGTTAATCATATTTAACTCAATGAATAATGACATAAGTCATAATTGTATTAATATTGCAAACCATGAAATCTGAGAAATTTTACTACCCTCCTGGTATCTTCTCCCATTTTTTATGATGAAAAATGTCTGTAATTTTGGTAAAAGTTCTCAGTTTTTGAGACATGTGTGATTCTTGCAAAGTAGATTACTCTATCTGATAAGGTAGTGTTTTACAGACGACCTGTGCACATTATGAAATTCTTCAAAATTTTAGTTTCTACATGAACATGATGAAATCTCCTGAATATATCTTAAATTTTTCTTGAATATTTTTACTGGGCATGTGCTTCCAGACCTGGTGCATTAGGAAGAGTAAGATGAACCCCTGCCAATTTTTTGAAGTATATGCCTAAAAGTTTTTTTTGTATATTGAGACTTTTGAGAAATCATTGGTAACAATTTAGGCTTCTTGATACCTGACTTTGTATACTCCCTGAGTACATGTCAATAATGATGTATACAGTCCTTGGTTAGTCACATTGTTTTTGGATGATAACTTAAGTATCCCATCATGAATTGTAACTTAGACATGTGAAAAATAAGCAATAATACTACATGTTCTACTTGTCCCTCCAAGCCTAAAAAATATTTTCAACCCATGAAATAAAAACAATTCCTCTAAATAAATATTTGGTTAGCATCAGTGAGCAGTGCAAGCTATTCACTTGCTTAATAGAGTATCAGTCTATATACAGCTTCATAAAATATTACAGCCTTAATTGGGCTAAAAATGATCCTCTTTTGCAGTTTTTTTAAATCAATTTTCAGTTTCTCTCTTATTATTTGAAAATGCAATCTTAAGCTTTGCAGAAAAATTGAGAAGCACTGCTTGTTATAATTAAGCAAACATTTTATACATTACTATGAAAATATACCGGTATTCCACCCTCAAACTCAAGATAAAAGTTAGAACTTAGTACATGTACACAGAAATATTAACTATGTTTCTTTATTATTCCTGTAAAATTTTAGTCAGAACTTTCAAGTATAAATGCAGAAACTTAAATTTCATTTGAAAAACCGTCCAAAGGGAGATTTTATAGCTAAATCCTGCTTTGTGAGCTTGAAATACAGATTTTCGGAATTTGGCTGATATATTCCATAACTGGTATTTTCTGAGGAGTATGCTTCAATTATATGAAATCCATTACCAAAATTAAAGTGATTGTGATTGCTTTCATTTTGCAATGTGAACTTAGGATGCATAAATACCCTGCCACATCCGGTTTGTGTTTTTGTTACTTTTTTCTGCTCTGTATCCATCTGATGAGTTAAGCCTTTTCAACTGATTTTTATAGTTTGTTCATATATTGTTGTAACACCACTGTTATACGTTAAGGGGAGGGTAGGGTGCCCGCAAACATTTTTAACACCGCCACATTCTGTATGTGCCTGTCCCAAGTCAGGAGCCTGTAATTCAATAGTTGTCGTTGGTTCATGTCTGTCATATCTGTTTTTCATAAAAAAAAAATTTGTAAATTAGGCTGTCATTTGTAGTCTTCTCAATTAAATGGTTTCATTTTTTCATGTTCGTGCCTTTTATAGCTGATTTTACAGTATGGGTTTTTCTCATTATTGAAGACCTAACAATTGCCTATTATAAATGCTTACAGGCACTTCATTTGAACTTTGGTTGTCTCATTGGCATTTCATACCACATCTCCTTAATTTTATATTAAAATTTAAATATTGAATTATATTTAACTAAATTATCATGATTACATATTTTGAATTGGAGTTATCTTTAGTAATACTGTGACCTTCTTTCACATTAGGGTCCCAATCCATATCATGCATATAAATCTATGTACAGTCTTCACGATCAACATTCAAATCTACAAGCCCGAAGCTCAACTTTTGGAAAATTTTAGTTAGATTCTGTTGGCCTGTAGAGATGATTGGGTTGCTGGGCCTGTGGCTAAGCTGTATATATACACGTATACTAAATTAACTATCCTCAACCCTAACACTAGCCCTAACCCAAATCTAGTGACATCCCAACCCATATAGAAATATATAAACTATACTCAACCTTATACCTTACCTTAATATAAAACATTCCCTTAACCTAACATATAAACCATAAATGAACCATAACCCAAAGTGATCCCAAAAGTAAAAGACAGCCAATATTGTTGATAAAAGAAATAAGATGTTAGGATAAATCTATTCTTTAAAGACTGCACAAAAAACCTGTAATGTCAGCAGCATATGCATCAGTGGTAAGGCTTACAGTGGGAAAACAGTATGGGATCCAACAAACCAAAATAAGATCTAGTCAATAGACTAACAGTGAATAGAGCCAGATTTGCCCTTTTATCTATTTATATTTGCATGAAGCTAATAGATTTTCATGTGATAGTATGTTAAAGAGCTCATCAGAGTGCATGTTTGATTTTTATTGTGTACATATGTAGGACTCTAAAGTGCGATGGTAACACTCAAGTGCGATGGCATACAATAAAGTGTGATGGTCTTTTTTAGTGCGATTATGTGACACGTTAAAGTGCGATGGTATGACACGCTAAAGGGCGATGGTATAACACGCTAAAGTGCGATAGTATAAGTGCGATGATGTAATGAGTATGGTGTTCAGGCAATGGTTTTCGTTTGTTGCTGTGTTCCTATTAGTTTTTCGGTATGTTTATTAATCAATCCGTTGTCTTTCTCTTTTGATTTGTTTTACACTGGCCATTGTGTGGCCCTATATAGCTTGCTATGTAGCGTGGGCCAAGGCTCCACGTTAAAGGCCATACAGTTATCAATTGCATTTATCAACAACATTTGATCTTGGGTGGATATTTGTTTCATGTTTTTATTTAAAGTACGACAGTTGTTAATAAATTGCTTCGCCAAGTGCAGCTGGATACAACCGCAGAGGTCCAACCGTGAACAGTTGGGGCAAAAATGGACACAATATTCGCGCTTGATACAGGTCTGAATTTGGATTGAAATTCAATATTTGACACAGAATAACTGTAGTCAAAGAACTTACAATTGGTTACATGATTTGAATTTATATTCAATTTTTTGCTTTGCGCAATACAGTATGCTGTTGCGAAAGGATTTTCTTTTTGATTTCTGAAATCTTGAGGACAAAAAATTGTCCCACCCCCACCCCCCACCACCAATTTTTTTTACCCCCCCCCCCCCCCCCCATTTTTTTTTAACCTCCCCCCCCCCCCTTTTTCCAAAAAAAAATTCTTTCCCTCAGTCATAGTCATAATTTCAATTCAAGTTTCCAATAGAGTTTGCAACCATAATAACCCATTTTAATACATCATAAAAGTCTTAAAATAGAAAATGGCATACATAATCATAGCTAAAATTAATTTCCCTTAATCAGCATTTTTAAAATTATTAAAATAGTAACTTCTAAAATTAATTGACAGCTAATCACCTAAAGACAATACAAAATTTGTTTATACATAATTTAAAAGCAGTGTAAGGGAGGTAATTCAAAGTTGTAGAATTACCTCCCATAAACTGAAATTTGTACTTAATTGTCCATTAACCAGGACACCCTTGTTTTTTCTCACTTTTTTGCCCCTAATTCCTAAACGGTTTGAGCCATAACCCCCCAAAGCCAATCCTAACCATCCCTTTGTGGTATGGAAACTTGTGGTATAATTTCAGAGAGATCCATACACTGTTCCACAAGTTATTGAAACTAGAAAAATGCTTATTTGGGCCACTTTTTGGCCCTAATTCCTAAACTGTTGGGACCATAACCCCGAAAATCAATCCCAAACTACTTTTTGCGGTTATCAACCTTACATGTATGTTTAAATTTCATAGATTTCTATTTACTAATACTAAAGTTATTGTCTGGAAACCAAATGTCTTTGGACGACGACAACTTGATACCAATATACAACCTCAAAATTTTTAGCGGTCGTATAAAAAAAGAGTGTAATGGTTACATTGCAGTAGCTAGTATATACTTTATGAACCTGTCTCAAGCCAGGAACATAAAAGGAGCTACTAAATTAAAATTAGACAAATTAAATTCCTCAACGTCCAAGTGAGCCATCTCCAGAATCTCTTTTTCCTTTTTAGTTAAAATTACATTTGCAACCTTAACATAAATAGTATAAATACTAAAATAATTTCAATATAAATGATCAAATGGCCATGCGTATGATCGTCCTGTATATGCATGTGATATTTGCCACTGTACGTTCAACAAGCAAAAATTAGTTTACATTACTTTATTAACATGATTAATCTGTTTTCCCGAACTACTGGAAAATATGATTTTCAAAGTGTTTCCTACACAGTGTCACTTTTATGGCAATGAACAATCCACTATATCATTTTTGTTGATTTCAATTGTTATAGGGAAAACGCACTTTAGCATATTGAGGCATCAGACTTTAACGTGTTCCATTTAATAGGACAGACCATCACACTTTACTGTCTTTAGCGTAGACCATCGCACTTTAGCGTGACCATCGCGTTTTAGCATCCTCCTCGCACTTTAGAGTCCTACAAATATATGCTTACTATAAAATTTTCTCTTCTTTAGAATCCCGAAAGGTATAATTTAAAGAAGAACGATTGGAAGGAAGCGTGTTTAGTGGTTTTTCCCTTCTAACAAATGATATTTCGTTGACATATTTCTTAAGGGACAAGTTAATTGGAAGGTTAATTTTAGTGTTGAGCCCTGACCTGCCTAATATTGCTCAAATATGGATGAATATATCTTGGAGTTGGAGACATCGTTTTCCACATTCTAAAAATATTTTGTTTTATTCGTTTTATTGACGGAAGTTGTGTAAACGGAGTTCAATTCCGGATTGAAAAGAAACACGTTCCGGGTTTTTCCCTATATCTCTCTTCTAATCATTATCAATATATAATATGTTTCAGGGTTACTAATACATTATCTATTGGTCAACAGTGTCTACTTATCTTCTGTATTCATAGTTTTTTTTTTATCCTGTCAATTTGAAGGTGCTCGCCATAAAATTCAAACTCAGAATGCACACTGATGTTTTGATTGTTAAATTTTTACCCGGCTCAGACGTTGAGGAATTTAATTCGTCTAATTTTAATTTAGTAGCTCCTTCTATGTGTATATATGTCTCTGATGGAGTTAAGAAAATCACAAACCTTTTTTTTTTTATCACGAGCACTCATTTAGAACTCATAGAAAAGTGCAAGATACAAATAGAATTTGCAAAAAACGAATATTAGTTGCACGATGTAGATCATTTCGTCCACTGATATTTGACCCGAACGTTTGAATTATTTGAAGTTCGTAAATTTTATTTAGTCAGCATTTGATATGACTTGGGAACAGTATATATATGTTCCTGATATGACGCTCCTTGTTTCTATATCTGACGCTGAGAACAATGATCAAGGTAGTGAGTGCTTTGATTTTTCGAGAACATGCACAGCACTGTAGCCGAACTTCCTAATATTCGACACTTCAAGACAAGATACTGAGACAAGACATTTTATTAGCCTCTTCTAAAATCGGTGTACAAGAGGTTATATAATAAAACCGATGGTAACATACAATATTAAATGATGTCCTCTCACTGACTAATGTAAATTTCAAAGTGTGTTTATTATATTGATTGCATGCACATATCCCATTTACTTTAGATACAGTTAGGTTTTCTTCATATCTTAACTTATGCACCTAGAAATTGGCAGTGTGGGTCGCTAAAGTACTTAACTTGCGACCAGCCACGAGGCACTATATATGAAATTATACTAATCCCATCCTGAAGCAGCAAGAATACCAGACATTTTGGCAACAGGAGAACCTCATAAAAAGCACGAACCCCCCTTTCCCCCTAAAAAAAAGTAAAAAGAGCACTTTGGCTGCCAAAAGCTATTTTGAAACAAAACCACGAAAGATAAATGGGAGTCTAGATAAAAATCGACAGAATCTTTTTATAATTTTCCCTGCGACTGCTATAACAGTTATAATAGTCTCAGTTTTAAAAAAATGTAGTTTTAAAAATGTCATGCCTCTGTTTCAAAAATATAATAAAAACTGTGGGTCACTTAGCTAGATGTTATTCAAGTTGTAGGGTGTGCAAAATTGTCAGTATTTGTATAGATTAATTAAACATGGAAAACCAATTTTTTTGTGTGATATAAGGAAAACTAAACCATAGAATTCGAATATAAATTATGAGAAGATAGACTTTATAATGCGCTTTCAGAAAAATTGGGATGACGGGACTAGTTTTCTTTCTTTGACGCAAAATATGTAAATTTACCTCACAATCTTTTTTAAAAGTTAGATTATCTGTGTTATCTCCCCATGTGAGCTTAACTGAATTAAAAAAAATCAAGCAATTGTAATAATAAGTTAAAACACACCATTTTCACCATTTAAATGAAAAGTCGTACACATGATGCAAATTTGTACATTTCATTAAGATCTAGACCGATTGTTTTTGCAGTTTTTACAATCTAATATGGCCGAAGAAATCCGACTTCCATTAAACACCTTCGACCTAATTTGTCCCCATGTACTGCTCACGTAATTTCAATCCTTTTAAAATTCATAATTATCTAGCCAAGTTGTTCGTCTTTTATACGCATAATCAAATACGATATGCAGCAATATGCACGTTGTAAACATTTGAATAATGTTTACAAGATTTTTCATATGGCGAAACATCTCCGATTCATGATAAAAAAAAACCATTCAAACAAAAATTCTTTGAAACTGATTAATTTAAGTTTGGTGACAATAAAGATCTCATCGATCCCTTTGAACTTTGAATAAATGATACCATATATATATATATGGTAATGTCTGCTTCATATCTTGGCTTAGTTACATCAAGTAATTGACAATGAGGGTTGGTTTTGTGAATTTTACGTCAATATAGATGGTTTCAAAATTTCATTGCATGTGAACTTTCCGTTTCTGCATATGCGAAGAAACATTCCAGCAGCGCCTGTATATGAAGTATAAATCTCCTAGTTTATACGATATTTCATGATCAGGGCTTGAATTTTCTATCATGATCTCAATGTCTGTCTTGTCTCTACCCTTATAACAGTCTTCTCCATCTATGGCCCTGGAAAACCATGCTCAGTTTTCAATTTGGTCAATTTTAGGGTTAAAGAATTCACATGACCGATGAGAGTATTAATTTTGTGATGTCTTATGGTTAGATGAAAGATATTCCACTAGTGTAGTGCATAACCAGCGGATTTAACTTATATACACATTGTACAGGAGCAACACAACGGAGTGTCACTGGTGGCGCAGGAACTGCTGACACTTCCGAAGAGCATGGGATCAACTTCGTACTTTATTTGACATTATTAACTTTTTCTATTCGAGCGTCACTAACGAGTCTTTTGTAAACGAAAAGCGCGTCTGGCGTTCAAAATTTGATTCCTGGAATCTATTATTAGTTTATTTACATCCCCTGTTTTGTTGGGATCGTGTTGCTGGATCTTTACTTTTCTGTATAGAGTTTTGGAGGTTGTTCTTTATTTTAGTGTTCGTCGTTTTTCTTCTTGGTCATGAAGTTGTCTATTTTACTCTATGTTTTTTATTGCCCCTTCTCGCTCATTTTAACAGCATTCTAAAGGAAAGGTGCATATTTTGTGTAATCATCTGTGATACAGTGTTCAACCATTGCCCTCATGCTTTGTAGTTTTCTTTTTTAGTTTTTTTTTTCAATTTAAAAAAAAAAACAGTATCACTTTTCCTTAATTACTAGCATTCAAACAGGTGTTTCCTAAAGTATACCAAACACAGATACATGCCACTACTATTTTAATAACCTTCAAAAGACGAAACCATATATGTATTGCTACCCAGGAACCATATGTGCAAAAGAGAAGCGGAAGATACCAAATGGATAGTCAAACTCATAAGTCGAAAACAAACTGACAGTGTCATAGAAGAAAAGGAAAAACGACCAAAAGACAACAGTCTACAAAACACAACATAGAAAACTAAAGACTGCGCAACACGAACACCACCTTTTCTTCTTTCTTTTTTATGGGGAAAAGGGGGAGGGAGGAATGCTGTTTTTTTTCAAAAAGAAAGAACCCCTTTTAATACCTTTAAATCAAGGTTTAAAGCAAACAAAGTTTAATCTGGTTCACACGGTGTAAATTTTGAAATCGAAAAGAATAAACTTAGCTGTTCATTAAGTTATGCAACAGTTTGATGATATAAGTAAAGCATGCTAACAAGAATATCATAATTGAATTAACCTTCCTGGTTGTTTGAATTATCTTACAAAGAGATAACAGTTTAAATGAAATCAGCCCGAGAAAAAACTCATACTACCCAGAAACACAAGCAACAGCTAAATTACATTCTACAGCTCTATTTTATCGCTTATTTATCTTTTTTAAAGTGAGATGGCACTGGGAACTAGTCCTTGCTGACAGAATTAGACAATACCTTTGACAGACGACATCTAGCACAATGTTGTCAAGCATCTGATATATACTTTTTATTCTATATGATGTATTACTAATTTTATAACCGCCTACAATCACTGCATGTTTATCGTGCTCACCTAGAGTGAGAGGGGTGCATGGTGCATGTTCGATCTCAAGCTCGATTGATTAAAACACTTTAAATTAGTACTGGCTGCTCCTCCGACAATCACATGACACACTCTGCTTAGAGTCAGAATAATATATGTCTGGAGTTCGATAAGCCTTGTTCGTGTCGGATTGGTCCAAATCAGGATATATGCGCATCTCAGTGTTATCGTCCTGGATATACATGTAATACTCGCCACTGGGAGTTAATTAATCTAGGCAGAAAGTATAGGTAATGAAAAGCAAAATTCCATGTCCATGTTCATGCAAGTCGTCCATTAAACACCGGTCTATTTTAATCGATCTACTCGGACTATAACCCTCCTCCCTTTCTCTATCATTCATCGTGTTTTAAATAGTAGCTTTGTGGGTGTACATTTGAATTATTTTGATTTCTACGAAAAGTCGTCCAATTACCAGCCACGGATGTTTTAAATAAGAAATCGTTATTTTCTTACCTTGAATACATATCTTTATACTTGCACGAATGTAGCCTAGGAAAACACAATGATGTGTATCAGAACGACAGGTATACACATTCCAGCTTTTGATGCAAGGTTAGATTATTTAGCAGATTAATTATTATTGACGAATACTGAAATTATTTATTACATACTATACCTATAGTGTAGTTTCTTGTCTGTATGTGGCGATACCGTATAATTAGTTTAATGATATCTGTCTCTTCTTTCAACAGCTGGGAGGTTTGTTGCATTACTACAACTGACCAAAGGACATAACATTTGTACCATACATATACAATAATTTCTTTATGTTACGATAATAGCCGATATGAAATATTTGCAAAAAGCATTTCGAAGATTTTCATCTCGAATTCTAATGATGAAAACTTGAAAAAAAATCGTTGGCTTTTATGAATATATAGCATTATTTTCTCCGACTGATAAATTGAAGATTCGAAAAATGTTATTTCCATTTTCTTCATAAGACATTTGAAATTCCTTTGAGCTACCTAATTTTTTTATCCAAATGCAACCATGTGTTTGGTTTAAGATATACTTAAATAACTTTGCCTGCAAATTTTTGCTTTCGTTCAGGAAAATTTAGTTGTGATTTAAATATAAGATTCAACATACAAGTGTAAAGTGATAAAATCTCAAGCTTCTTTTGTGTCAACATGGTCCATCATCTGATGGTTCATGGTCATATTCACTTTTTCTATGATTCAAACCAAAACACATGATTGCA